GTCATAAAATAATAATCAAGGAATGAGCTGGAAATTTGAGCATTTATTGAGTTATTTTCTAGTTAGCCACATTTATCGTTTATCGTCTCCACTAGACGTAGGGATGATGCTCGCATTGCAGTTCTTCCCTCGTGTCGGAATATTAATCTAACCAGTAATTCCTTTGATAAAGTTACGCTTTCAAAAGTCTCCATTCAAGGCTTTTTGAATACCAATGAAGCAGTGCTTCCTAAATTTGAATAAAACAAAGGAATGAAATGAGAAACTGATAGAAACCGTGCAGGGTTTGGGGTTTGCACTAATCACACCGTGTTCGGATGTAGATGAGGTTTGTGTGCCTTTGTCAGGCAAAGGTGAGGGTGACCGTGTGTTTCAGGGGGTTTTAGAGACAATGAAAACAATTCTTTTTGATTTATGGTTGGAGAGAGACGCTCTCCAGAGATGGTGGAGGAGAAAGGTCTCTCTAAAATTAGACCAGGTATTATGTGCTGTGTTATAGCTTTATCACACACCCTCACGGCGTGGAATAACTCTGTTAATCAAAGCGAGTGTCATGTCACACTGCCACGGCAGGTCTGCTCCACATACGCAGATGTGCATCCTGACCTGGTATGTTTGCATGTTTTGGGCAAGGAGGTTTTTAATACCTGGAGAGAGGAATATCCATTAGCTTACCCATTCATCTCAATGACAGCTGCAAAAAAAAAAAATTACTTGAAGGAATCTTACTAAGCAGTATTTGGCATTAAAAAGATTGTAAATACACGGTATACTGCAGGTTTGCAGTATTGCAGGTTAGATGCAGCTTATATATTCTGGTTTACTTTTTTACATATATTTAAAAAATATATATTTTTTTATTTTTTACATTTAGACAAATTATATTATATTATATTATACATTTATAATATATTTATAATAGGGTTGCAAGGATGCTGGAGCCTAATATTCAGCATCTTGGGTTGATTTAATGAAATAAACCAATATCCCGAGTTATTCAGTTACTCCTAACAGTACATTGACTGAACTACTAAAAGAGAAACGATGATGGGATGTGCAGGACACATTGCATTACACCAAATACACCAAATAATGTTATTTTTAGCAACGTCATATGACCCCTTTAATTAAATTAATTAGTTATGAATAAAATAATGTGTTGAAATAGTAACACATTTAACACACTCGCCCTGCCCCAGACCTACATAGGTCATCTTATATTTCATAAATCATACAGCTGATTGGTGACGAACATGAAGCAGGGCAACAACAACTTTCTGCGTGATGAAGCCTATAGAATGCAGTTATATGCCCCTAAAATTCAAGATATTGGGGCATAAATGTCCTTGCATGAGTTTTTGTCTCGTATTTATATCATATGACATAAGCAATATCACACGAGCAACGAGTGCAATATCACACAAGCGCTGTTTTTGTCCCGAATAGCACAAGTGCAAATGTGATATTGATTTTGTACAACAGTTCAATAAATAAGAAGTTAATTTATTTTTGACACAATATTGTCTGTCTTTGCTCAATTTGTCTGATGAAATTATTATCTACTATCCCTTTAATAACCATTTAAAACCCATTAATCTCACGGCATTATTTATGCAATTTAGATTGCAGTGTAAATGCATTCATGCCTCCTCTGCGCTGCAGTAAACAGTCTGTAAATACCAATTCAGATGCAGCAGCTAAAAAAAAGAGTTGGAGCCTAAAAGTTTATGTGTAATAAATTTTATGTTGTCAAATAAAATATTTCTTTCTAAAGCTACTTTTTGCAATGTTTATTTAATGAAAACACAGCTGTTGACCAATCAGAATCAAGGACTGGAACCGTTTTATAATGTCACGTCATGTCATATATCATATCCCTGGTTTGAGACCTTGGGGTTCATATTGATGACAGATTGGACAAACGACACTTTATCTTTTTAAAATCTCAGTTTTTAATGTGTGTAGCTGCACATGTTCTTTCAGTCTGTTGACGGGACTGCCTTGTTCTACACGGTAGTGAGCTGGGGCTCTGGGTGTAACACTGGAGATGAACAAGCTCATCAAGAAAGCAGACTTTTTCATTGGAGAGGAACGGAAGTATCTGGAGGTTGTAGAGGAGAGGAGAATGATGTCCAAGCTGCTGGACAACGTCATGGATAGCACTCTCCACCCCCTCCATGACATGCCTGTAGGAATGAACAGCATGTTCTGAAGTAGGCTGATTCAGCTGTGCAACAGAAAGCATTACAGGAAGCCAATTATGCCTACTGCCATAAGACATAATTCATCAACCATGTGCAGAGGCACCATTGACCTTTAGTGAATTAGGACCCTGCTCTCAGTTGTTCTTGGGCACAACATGAAAAATCATGCAATGTCCTTGCAAAGCCTGAGTGAGCGCCCATAGAACAGCCTAGCATCACCTTTGTGACCTCCCAGAACACCGCACACTAGCAATGCCTTTGTAACCACCCAGAATATCATGACAACCGCCTAGCAACAACACCCTAGCAACTCCCCTATCAGCCACTCAGAGCACCATAGCAACCAACTAGCAACATCTTTACAAAGCCTGTTGCAGCGTCCCAATTCACATATGCATAAATATTATTCGAAAATAGAATTAGTATGGCCCAAATGGTAGTTAGTTCTGGTACTATGAAAAGGTTCCCGCAGTGCGAAAGGCCCTTTTGTTGAAATGAGTATGCTAGAGTTTCCCAGATGGTCTACTACTACGGGTTAGAATTTGAAGTGCAGATCGATGTACACTCTAATGGCTAATATTGTCCACAACACTTTGCGCAAGGATTTATTTAGATTAGAACTACAAACACGCATAAAATGTGTTTTAAAAAACTACAAACATGTTGGATATGCGAGACCGACGGACAGGTAGAGAAAGGGGTTCGAGTGATAAATAATCAATGTATAACCAGGATGAAAAAATATTATTTAATATTATCCACATTATATTTCATCTGCAGCAACATTGTGAACTTTTAGTAAGATACGTTTGGTCATTAACTTTAAAATGCATCATCATTATGCAAACACATGAGCAGAGTTCTCAGCACGAAAGACCCGCGATTGGCAGATCAACATGCCACTTTATTTCTCTCCAATACGGTAGGAAATCAAATTACACAAAATGTAGATTATGTTAATGTGACAAGACGATTGACAGGGCGGTTTAAATGGTGACAGAATGCACTTAACTAAGCAACACAGTTGTCCGTTAAAGGCAGTTATGACAAAGTAGTATGTCCCAAAGTTTGCATACTATTCTGCTACATACTCAAAAGTATGTACTTTTTCTTCACAAAGAAATATATAGTATAAGCAGGCTAATTGGGACGCAGCATGAGTGAACACCCCACAGAACACTCTAACATCACCTAGGCAACCTCCCAGAATACCCTAGCAGCACACTAGCAATGCTTTAGTAACCACCCACAACACCATAGCAACCACCTAGCAACATCCTAACATCACCTTAGCAACCACCCAGAACACCCTAGGAGCACACTAGCAATGCCTTGGTAACCACACAGAACACCTTACAGCATTGTAGTTATTTCCTAGTAACCACTCACAGTATTGTAACAGTTACCTAGTAACAACACCCTAGCAACACTCCTAACAACCACCTAAGACACCCCAGCAACCACCCAGAGCACTGTGCCAACCACCTAGCAACTCCCCTAGAAACCGCCTAGCAATATCTTAAATGCGTGCCTTCTGTATCTGTGTATGAAAAAATCCTATTTCATCTGCAGCAACATTGTGAACTTTTAGTAAGATACGTTTGGTCATTAACTTTAAAATGCATCATCATTATGCAAACACATGAGCAGAGTTCTCAGCACGAAAGACCCGCGATTGGCAGATCAACATGCCACTTTATTTCTCTCCAATACGGTAGGAAATCAAATTACACAAAATGTAGATTATGTTAATGTGACAAGACGATTGACAGGGCGGTTTAAATGGTGACAGAATGCACTTAACTAAGCAACACAGTTGTCCGTTAAAGGCAGTTATGACAAAGTAGTATGTCCCAAAGTTTGCATACTATTCTGCTACATACTCAAAAGTATGTACTTTTTCTTCACAAAGAAATATATAGTATAAGCAGGCTAATTGGGACGCAGCATGAGTGAACACCCCACAGAACACTCTAACATCACCTAGGCAACCTCCCAGAATACCCTAGCAGCACACTAGCAATGCTTTAGTAACCACCCACAACACCATAGCAACCACCTAGCAACATCCTAACATCACCTTAGCAACCACCCAGAACACCCTAGGAGCACACTAGCAATGCCTTGGTAACCACACAGAACACCTTACAGCATTGTAGTTATTTCCTAGTAACAGTTACCTAGTAACAACACCCTAGCAACACTCCTAACAACCACCTAAGATACCCCAGCAACCACCCAGAGCACTGTGCCAACCACCTAGCAACTCCCCTAGAAACCGCCTAGCAATATCTTAAATGCGTGCCTTCTGTATCTGTGTATGAAAAAATCCTTCTCTGCTTGTTGATGGCCATATTTCTCTTGGCTCTGACAACGTCAGTGTGTTTCATTGCCTGCAAACAAAAAGCCATTTTCTTATTTCTTTATTGCTCAGATTCACAGTGTTCATGTTCTTGCTGATTTTCCTCATTTTAATAGTCTGTGGAGTGAACTGTAGCAGTGTGCTCTGGAGTTCTCATTAAATGAATACTGATGAATGAAGTTTTATCACACTAATCATTACTGCTCTTCTGAAGTGTCGGTGGGAATGTTCTCACAAGCCTGCTGCAAAAATGTAAACTCGCACCAAAAATGTGCTCTTAATAGTGAGCTTGTTAAAATTTCTCAGCTTTTGGTGTTAATGCTACATGTTCCTTCTAACTTTAATTCAAGCTGTGAACTTCACAGAAGTTAATGTAGTTTAATGAAGACTGTTATCTCATGAAATACCTTGCGTCTGTGCTTGACTGATTGCAGATACAGAATGCTGATGATGTTCTGATCACACCCTTGGAGAGATTCCGGAAAGAGCAGATCGGAGCAGCCAAGGTAAGTCATCCTATATCACTTTAGACAATAACCAAAATTACCCTGGTATTTGGAGGCTAAACAAGGCTAAAATATGCTACTGACTTGTTTATGCTCGTGTGTGTGTGTTTGGAAATGTGTTTGCATTTAGACTGTACAAATCTTGTTTGGAATATATTCTGCTAAAGTCTGCTGCTGGGTTATTTATAATTGATAAAATTTCTCAGCTTTTGGTGTTAATGCTACATGTTCCTTCTAACTTTAATTCAAGCTGTGAACTTCACAGAAGTTAATGTAGTTTAATGAAGACTGTTATCTCATGAAATACCTTGCGTCTGTGCTTGACTGATTGCAGATACAGAATGCTGATGATGTTCTGATCACACCCTTGGAGAGATTCCGGAAAGAGCAGATCGGAGCAGCCAAGGTAAGTCATCCTATATCACTTTAGACAATAACCAAAATTACCCTGGTATTTGGAGGCTAAACAAGGCTAAAATATGCTACTGACTTGTTTATGCTCGTGTGTGTGTGTGTTTGGAAATGTGTTTGCATTTAGACTGTACAAATCTTGTTTGGAATATATTCCGCTAAAGTCTGCTGCTGGGTTATTTATAATTGAAATTATTCCTTATAAGGTTTTTGCTGTTAGCATGTTTTGATGGATATATTAAATACCTGAAGATAGTAATGTTTTATGAATGTTTAGCCATTACAAATGTGCCTTCGTACCTAAAAAATACCTAAAAGTGCCAACGGTATTACCATGTTTGCCCTGCCATGTATTATTCAAAGTAGCTTGGAATACCAAGTAAATAGTATATTAATATAATTCAGTATCTATGTGTACATCAAAGTTCTGTGTTACTATTTTGTTATTTATGATTTAAATGATTCCTTATAAGGTTTTTGCTGTATTACAGGTGCATCTCAATAAATTAGAATGTCGTGGAAAAGTTCATTTATTTCAGTAATTCAACTCAAATTGTGAAACTCGTGTATTAAATAAATTCAATGGACACAGACTGAAGTAGTTTAAGTCTTTGGTTCTTTTAATTGTGATGATTTTGGCTCACATTTAACAAAAACCCACCAATTCACTATCTCAACAAATTAGAATACTTCAAAAGACCAATAAAAAAAA